AAGTTCTGATCTGCTCTACATGGCTGGTCTCCGTGATTTCTTCTATAAATTTCACAAACCTTAGCCTACCTAAAAGTGTCTGGTCCTCCTCGACACATACCCTTTTTGGGTTTCTTATTAAAATTAAACTTTCTTTTCTTCCTATTGTTATAGGAAGTTCCCTCGATCATCATCCTTGCCAGATGTCTATTGGCCCTTAGGGTTACCCTAGTACGGTTGTAGTGGTTCTGACTACTCTAGGCGATTCAACAAGCTTCCACCGCTCCATTAAAATTCTCAAACTACCTCGGGGCCACCTTTTCTCTCAGTTCTGATTTTAGTCCCCTAATCATCTTCTCAGTGAACCATCATTCATTATTCATGTGTTGCAAGTAGTTGGAGTATTGAGATAACTTAATGTATCTTACCAGATACTCATCAAAATATTCATTTTCCGCTGGTCTTACGGTGAGAAATCCAGCTTCTTTCTCGTTTCTAGCTGATCTCAAAAAATACTTCAAATAGAATTGTTCCTTAAAAGATTCCCATGTAATCGATGTCTCATTAACTTGGAGTATCAACTTCATATTCTTCTACCATCTGTCAATTTCTCCCTCTAATTTGTAAATAGCCTTATGGGCTTTCCTCTTTGTTGGACATTCTAAAACTTTAAACATTTTCTCCAATTGAGTTATCTAATCCTCAGCCACTCAAATATCAAGGATTCCTTCAAAGCAAGTGGATCATACTTACAAAAACATGTAATCCACTATTGTAGGCTTTCAAGTTCTACTGCAGGTCGGCATGCTCACCTACAGATTCTTGAGGTTAGACTGGGTGGACTACCCCGGCTACTCCCAATCTGAGTTACTATAATTGAGCCATAGCTGCTGCTGCTATTGCTATTGCAACATCTTTTTCATATTCCTATCAAGCTTTTGTGGCTCATATCTCTTGTATAGTTTTTTGTTGTTCCTCCAGTCTATTTAATATTACTTGAATAGGTCCACAAGGGTCTATCCTGAGCTTCCCCTGATTGTGCTGATTGTCTAGTCCTCACCATTATAGATTATTTTCTTAACTACAAGAGGAACAAGATCATTATTTTCATATATATCTTTATATTTCATTTATACTTACATCTATGTACAACAGCTTTATCAAAAGTCAATTACAGCTATAACAGTCACATCCAGTCACATATTTAACAGTACACTTCAAGTAACTCTCTAGCTAACACAAAGGAAATGAAAAAATAGATATAACAAAGATTTCTAGCATGTCCACCAACTGATCGAAGGTACACATATTGATGCTATCACAAATCCCTCGGATCTGGTCTTGCCATATTGCAATATGTGGGAGTGCAGTGAATAGAGCTGCTGCCCATGTCATCTAGTCTAAGGTTCTGTCCTCCTTGGTGACCACTCAATATAATGTCCTGATTTGGTACGGGAATTCCAAATAGATTGTGGCATGCTAGTTCTCATCCCTTTTGATATGCTATCCTCAGAATCTGAGCTCTTCCACTATATAGAATTCCTTCTAGACTTTTAAAGGTCTTTTCTTAAGAGGTAAATCCTTTGCTCCACTGGGTCCTGCCTAATCTGGGTTGGGTTTGGGCATAGGGTAGGTATTTTGTACTGCTTCATTAATACCCATTCTGGGGATAGGTATATCTTGTATATCAATATCCCAGACTACATTGGAAGCTACTTCAGATTGGTCATGTCATGGTAGCTTGAACAAACACTCTAATCCTGAGTAGTAGTCCAAAGGGGTAATGGGATCCGATTCTAGGATGAACCGCCAATTTGGTGCTACTCTCGAGGTTTAACTTGGCTCACCATTTCCCTTGAATCCTCCTTTCCACAACAGGCCATAATCTTTTTCCTCTATCCTGCAACTTACTTGTACCATGAAAAATTGATCCACACCCAACCAAAGACACAGCAAGAGCACACAATAAATATGCCAAAATCTTTGCTCTGATATAAAAAATATAATACCTTACTTTATCAACCAATTTTATATCAAGTGAGAACAATTGGAACCATTCAACAAGACATTAAGCTAGAAAAATTTAAATTTTTGAATTAATTTTTCGGGTTACTATTTATTGTAACCCTAATTTTAACCAATCTTTGAAAAATCATAACTAATTTTAGCAAAATCAAAATAACATGGTTTTAAGTCCTACTTGAAGCTTTCAATGAGCTCTTTAAGAAAAAAATACATCCAGAATATGATCTCAGCTCACGTGTGCTCAATTTCAACGTTAAAGTGTACTATTTATTTGGTAACTCTTTCAATTTTTTAGAATTTATGCCTAACTTTGGAAAAACATAACCTCTTGTACAAAACTCCAAATTTTATGATTACCACTCACTTTAAAACTAAAAATAAGATCAATTGATCTATCAAGTTTCATGAATAAAATCCTTCATTTGCTCAAAATTTTGTATGGTCAAACTTTGCCTCTATGTAGGTCAACTTTTATATTTTTAGGCATATAACAATTATATTCAAATAAATTACAGCCCTCAAAGGTCTTTGTCTGTAGAAGAAGAGTTAAGATTAATGTGGATCCTTGTTCACATGAGCATGCGGTGTTTGTATTAAATTAATATTTGAATTATTTAATATGAATTGGATTTAATGTTCTAAATTTCAGCGTTTTTATTTTTGGCTTTTATTTTTAAATAAGTTAACCTATTATTTTGGGAGAATCCTACCAAAAGAAGCTTAAAATTATTAAATGTGAAATCAGGTTTAGTTCTAACACTATAATAGGTTTTGACAATGTTTGACTGGCAAATAATAACACATTTTTGTAAGAATTTCTTATTCTAGATTGAGCAATTTCAAACTTCTTTTTATAAGATTTTTCCTATTATTTTTGTATTTGTTATCTCTAATATTGTCTTTACTATTATTTATTGCTCCTTCCATACCTTTTATCTTTCAAAAAGCAATTTCTCTCATAGTACTGTTCCTAAATATGAGAAACAATTACTTAATTATTATTACTTAAAGTCTTAAAACCAATATTTTCACTTTTATCTCATTAAATATGTGCTACTTATTATCTCTCATGTACTCTTTTCGACAAACAAGGATACAATTGAATATATATATATCATACACATTTATTGTTTTTAACTAAATTTAACTAAGATTTTGAGCCACGTACACATAAGATTTGAGTAGTTGTTTCTTATAACAAGGGACAAATTAGTATATTTCTTGTGAAATAAACCAAATACAAATTGCATAAAAATAGAAAATAAGTTTTCTTTATTTTTCACTCGTTATCCAGTTTGAAAGCTTTTCTATAGTCCTTGCACTATTTTCATTGTTTTTAAGTTACAATTTTTTCCCTTCATCCAAAATATAAATTATTTCAACTACCTCATCAAGAAAATAAAAAAGAGGTTAATTTATTAAATTTGTCTTAAAATTTCTACTTTAATTTTATCCTTATTTAAATATCACTCACATTTTCTCTCTTTCTTGATATCCAACGTGTATGCCCGATAACTAGGAGGAACGTAAAATTAGAAAATGGTACTCCTCCCGTCCTTAATGTAGTACTAAATTAGGAAGCTAATGTTAGTATTATATATAATATCTATTTCACATATTTATTAATTTTTTTCAAATTAACCTTATTGATATTTCTCCAATATTAATCAAATAAAAGAGGGAAGAAAGGAATTGATGAAGATGCTTATAGTGTTTAAAAAAAGATCATATTAACTAATTTAACAAACATCTTTAATTCTTTCTAATTAGTTAATTATGTCTTATATATTAAAAAGTAGAGGAGTAAGTAATTAATAATTCTCTAGATGGTTTATATTTTGAATTAAGAATTTATAGATGCCCTATATTAAGGAGCAAAGGGAGCATGTGCTATCTAATTTGTACATACTCTGGGGAGCATTGCCATAATTGAATTTTTTTAATTGAAGGGCAGACACTAACAATTTTTAAAGTTACAAGCGGGTTAAGTTACCTATCGAGGAATTTCATGCCACTGACATAAACATGACTGGTTCAAAATTGAATTTTAAAATTCAGTTGCATAACGTTCATGTGTGTTTGCCGCATTTAATGGATCACTGACTTGAAGGGCAAAAAGCATCTCTCCCACATGCTAATTCTTTGAATGCGTGTACTATATCTTTTCACGAGGGAGTTTCTCACATGCATGCGATTAATAATCTGCACGGTTTTGTCCGCCCCCATTTGCTCAGTTTCTCTCATAGATCCAAATTCAAGTTGCTACTCGCCAAAACGAAAGAAGACGACAAGCAAGTATCTTCTTGAATCTAAACTCTCTTCAAGATCATCGCGTGCCATTCTGCTGGTCAAGGTGAGTGATAGTGATAGTGTTCATCAATCTGATATAATAGCTTGACTCAGAATTACTCGTGTATTAATTCTTTATCACAGGTTTTATCTTGTCTTACGACTTGACTTTTCAATCTTACGCTTGAGGTTATTTGAATGAATGATAATTTGACGTTTCCGAATTATTTTTTGAAGACAACTTACTGATTAGGGACAAATAATGTACATTAAATTCCGATTCAGTATGTCTATATATGGGTGATTCATGACAGGAAATCCAGTGAGCAAACCTGTTGCTTATTCTTCTTGTTCCTCTGTTCTTCGCCTTTCAAAAGCTCCTCAGAACATTTTGACTGTCGTTGTTTGGAAGTCAGACTCTTGCATAAATTTTTGTTCAATCAAAGTGTTCATACATATCAATTTTCACATCTGGATGATGCTAAATAAAAGATGTCTCTGTGTTACGAATGGATCAATGTTATATTATGTAGAATGTTATGAACATACATGAGTGTCTAGTGAGTAACACAAGGTTATGTACATTTTTTCAAGCTTTGATATGTTTTATTAGTTTCAGTTCACAAGTTACTTGTTCACATGCTTTGCAGAGATTCTAGCTGCATATCTCTTTCAGAAACATAAACCTGAGGTCCAGATTGATAATAATGAACAATTTCAAGTTAGGTGTGGATGTGGTTAGTGCTCACAATCTGTTACCTAAAGATGGGCAAGGGTCATCGAGTGCTTTTGCAGAACTTTATTTTGATGGCCAGAAGTTTCGCACCACAATCAAAGAAAAAGATCTGAACCCAGCTTGGAACGAGAGCTTCTACTTTAACATATCTGATCCTACAAATCTGCACTATCTCACTCTTGATGTCTATCTCTATAACCATATCAGAGGTTCCAGCTCTAGCTCGTTTCTGGGGAAGGTAAGCCTCTCTGGAACTTCATTTGTACCTTACCCTGATGCTGTTGTGATGCATTATCCTCTAGAGAAGCGTGGCATTTTCTCTCGTGTTCGTGGAGAGATTGGATTGAAAGCCTACATCACGAATGATGCAGCCATAAAGTCCTCAATTCCAGTTGCTTCATCAGAGTCCAATAATACAACTAACTCAGTTCATGCAGACGCTCATGCACCTGCAAATCCTATCACAAACACTTTGCCTAGAGAGAAGGTTGGGGCAAGGCACACATTTCATCATCTTCCTAATCCGAATCACCACCACCATCATGATCAATCTTCTGCCTTACCAGCGGACGCTCATTATGTAACAAAATATGAAGCTGACGCAATGAAATCTGAAGCAGTTCCACCTCCAAAGCTGGTTCGTATGCACTCTGCTGCATCAGTACAACCAGTGGATTATGCTCTGAAAGAGACAAGCCCTTTCCTCGGAGGGGGAAGAGTTGTGGGGGGTCGTGTCATCAGGAAAGATAAGGCAGCCAGTACATATGATCTTGTCGAACGGATGTATTTTCTCTATGTGAGGGTAGTGAAGGCTCGTGATCTTCCTGCTATGGATGTTACAGGGAGTCTTGATCCATTTGTTGAGGTGAGAATTGGAAACTATAAAGGTATTACCAAACACTTCGACAAGAACCAGTTTCCAGAGTGGAATCAAGTGTTTGCTTTTTCAAAGGAGAGGATGCAAGCATCTGTGCTAGAAGTTGTGATCAAGGACAAAGATCTAATGAAAGATGATTTTGTAGGCATCGTTAGATTTGACATCAATGAAGTTCCTTTAAGAGTTCCACCAGACAGCCCTTTAGCTCCAGAATGGTGTCGACTTGAGGATAAGAAGGGAGAGAAGGTTAAGGGGGAACTGATGCTTGCAGTGTGGATTGGTACTCAAGCAGATGAATCTTTTTCTGATGCATGGCATTCAGATGCAGCTTTGCCCATTGACACTACACCTACTGTCTCCACAGTGATTCGCTCCAAGGTCTACCATGCACCAAGATTATGGTATGTGCGTGTGAATGTTGTGGAGGCACAAGACTTGGTTCCTACAGAGAAAAATCGCTTCCCTGATGTGTATGTGAAGGGCCAAATAGGACACCAAGTGCTGAAAACAAAAACAGTTGCAGCCAGGTCTCTAAACCCACTCTGGAATGAAGATCTTTTGTTTGTTGCTGCTGAACCTTTTGAAGATCATCTAGTACTTTCAGTGGAAGATCGTGTTGGACCTGGGAAAGATGAGATCATCGGGAGGGTGACAATCCCACTGAATGCCATAGAGAGACGTGCTGATGATAGAATCATACATTCAAGATGGTTCAATCTGGAAAAGCCAATCGCAGTTGATGTTGATCAGTTGAAGAAAGAAAAGTTCTCTAGCAGAATCCACCTTCGTGTCTGTCTAGACGGAGGGTATCATGTTCTTGATGAATCAACTCATTACAGTAGCGATCTCCGTCCCACAGCGAAACAACTATGGAAGCCACCAATCGGAGTCTTAGAACTTGGAGTGTTGAACGCTGTAGGACTCCATCCTATGAAAACAAGAGATGGAAGAGGCACTTCTGATACATACTGTGTAGCAAAATATGGTCACAAATGGGTCAGAACAAGAACCATGGTTGATAATTTATGTCCAAAATACAACGAGCAATATACTTGGGAGGTTTTTGACCCAGCAACAGTTCTCACAGTTGGGGTATTTGACAACAGTCAAATTGGAGAAAAAGGTTCAAAAGATCTGAAAATCGGAAAGGTCAGGATTCGTATTTCAACACTTGAAACAGGTCGCATCTACACTCACTCATACCCATTGTTAGCTCTTCATCCAACAGGGGTTAAGAAAATGGGTGAATTGCACTTAGCGATAAGGTTCACATGCATTTCTTTCACAAACATGCTTTATCTGTACTCTCGACCATTGCTTCCAAAAATGCACTATGTGAGACCCTTCTCTGTCATACAACTTGATATGCTCCGACACCAAGCCGTTAACATAGTGGCGGCTCGGCTCGGTCGGGCGGAGCCGCCGCTCAAGAAGGAAGTGGTGGAATACATGTCTGACGTGGACTCACACCTATGGAGCATGAGGCGAAGCAAGGCGAATTTCTTCAGACTGATGACAGTTTTTTCTGGTTCTTTTGCTGTTGGCAAGTGGTTTGGAGATATCTGCATGTGGAAGAACCCTATCACGACGGTCCTTGTCCATGTTCTTTTTCTCATGCTAGTATGTTTCCCGGAACTCATCTTACCCACAATATTCTTATACATGTTTCTGATAGGATTATGGAACTTTCGATACCGACCAAGGTACCCTCCACACATGAATACGAGGATCTCACAAGCAGAAGCAGTACACCCAGATGAATTGGACGAAGAATTCGACACTTTTCCGACGAGCAGAAGTCCAGACATAGTGAGAATGAGGTATGATCGATTGAGGAGTGTGGCTGGGAGGATTCAAACTGTAGTGGGTGATTTGGCCACACAAGGAGAAAGGATTCAAGCTTTGTTGAGCTGGAGGGACCCACGTGCGACCGCTATTTTTATCATCTTGTGCTTGGTTTGTGCGATGGTGTTTTATGTTACTCCTTTTCAAGTGGTGGCTGCTTTGACTGGATTCTACGTCATGAGGCATCCAAGGTTTCGTCATAGGTTGCCTTCTGCACCAATCAACTTCTTTCGACGATTGCCTGCTAGAACAGATAGTATGTTGTAAAAGTGATCAATCAGAAAGACTAATTCTGGGTATTCAAGTTTTACCAATGGTCCCTGTTTACAAATTTTCTTACTTTATTTCTGCATGTAACGATGTTATTTTATGGGAAGAACAAGGAAGGACGTACTTAGTTTGTATATATGTTGTGGTTCCATATCCCTACAGAAATCTCTAGATTTAGAATGTTCTTTGATAATCACTACACCAACACTTCTATTTTAATTTCTCCAAGACAATATCTGAAAAATGGGGCAAAATTTCGGGAGAAAAATGTCTTTTTCATGGATTTTCTCACAGTAAACTGAGTGTGAGAAAATCTGCTGTGGCACAAAAAAGAAGAAGCTTCTACCAATAATGTGCTATGAATGCTTCTCCTGAGCCAAGAAACCATTTTTATTTCCTCTACACAGAATTTTACAAACTTGATAGCGTTTGAATTTCATAAGACTTCACATGACCACGAGGATTTCAAGCTCTTATCATCATTAAATTTTTCACAAATTTGATATTCTTTTAATAATGGATAAAATAAATGCCATCATTCTTATGATTGATTATGTTAAATGTATATTTTTTTAAGCACAGCATTAGTCACTAAAAAGTATAGAGTAGAAGTGTTGAAGTAGAGAGAGGAAGTTTGATGCCTTGTGTTTCCATCATCATGATTCATGCCATATCAGAAGGGGATGAATATGTACTGAATACATTTGCCTCAATAAATTTTTTAATCAAACGTTTAGACGAAACTAATTTGAAAGTCAACCACCAATTAATACATGCCCATTTATGCAGACTGTTATACGTGTGTGTGTGTTTAAAAGGGAAGTCCTAATAAGTATTATGCTTGCGGAGAGTAATATCTCCATTTAATTCCCTCTTCACTCACTACCGGGGGAAAAAAAAAAGTGACTTAACGACAAAAATTTTAATTAATGATGAAATTAGCCATGTAATCAAATTAACGACGGAATTTGTTGAGCTACAAAATTAAATATATATACATAATATTCTTTTACACAAAAAATTATATATACATATATATTATTAAAAACTAAACATAAACTACATGATAATTTTAATCATGACTATTTTAATGACAAAATATTTTTTACTATTTATTTGATAATGTTTTATTTTAAAAAAATATTTTTAATATAATTTTAATTTCCAATGACACTAATTTTGAATTTTCAATCATAAATAATTTTTTCATAAATATGTTTTTAAAATTTATTTTTTAACATTGAAAAGATATATAATTTAGCTATATATGTATTATATTACATTATATTATATTATATTATCTATATGTGTTTTATATATTTGATGAAAACCATTTACAATTAGTAAAAAAAATCTTGTTATTCAAAAGATAGCTACTATTATAAAATCTAATAAATTATTCTATATAAAAAATTAAATGATTTGAATAGATTATGATAAACAACATTCTCCTACTTATATATGTATCCTATATAATTTATTTTTTTAAAATAATTTGTATATACCATTTATTTTTTCATTGAAGACCAAAATCAATCTATATCATGGGTATTAATTATATCATGATTAAATTTTATTATTTAATGATTGAAATTCAAAATTCACTTCAATATTAGTTTGATTTATAATCATAAATTAAGGTGTTCATATAAATTCATTTTTTGATTTTGAATTTCTATCATATATTACATCTTTCTATATATTGTACATATGATAAAATTATTTCTTTCTTATATCAGTTTGTATAAGAAAATTATTAATATTCTTATTATATTTTTTAATTGTTATTAATAATCAAGACGAATTGATTTTAATGAAATATAAACAAGTTTTCTAGGAACTTGTCTTCCTATTCTCAGTATGTATCTAATGATGACATGAATAATGATGATACCTTCATTAATACCAACTCCACAAATATATCAATTTATTTTACAATTAAAAATATATTTAAATCATTATATTCTTAATTATATTATTATATAAATTGTCATAAGATTATAATCTAAAATAATGAAATTTAAAATTAGTGACGGATTTGTGACAGAATTACAACATAATAGAATTAGTGACGAAAACTTCTATGACTAACAATGTAGTGACAGAATTAGTGATAAAAATTAATGACAGAAAAATTTCATTGCTAAAAATTTTATAATTAAAATTAGCGATGAAAATTTCTAACAGAAATTCCATCGCTAACATTAGTAATGAAAAAATTTCATCGCTAATCCGTCGCTAAATTTAGCGACGGAATTTCCATCAGTAATTTGTCAAAAATTATCGACAAAATAATTTTCTGCTGCTAATTCCGTTGGTAATAAGCTTTTTTTTTTTTAGTGACTTCCTCTCCATGTATTATTTTTGCCATTGGATTAACATCCAATGGTTGAAATTTAATATATTATAGCAATATTATTATAATATTAATTAAATAACAAATATATATATATATATATGTAAGCAATCAGAAATTAACTTGCACACATTGCTTCTATAGATGTTTATTAAAATACATCCAATTGTTGAAATTTAATATATTATAGCAATATTATTATAATATTAATTAAATAACAAATATATATATATATATAAGCAATCAGAAATTAACTTGCACACATTGCTTCTATAGATGTTTATTAAAATACATCCAATTGTTGAAATTTAATATATTATAACAATATTATTATAATATTAATTAAATAACAAATATATATAAGCAGTTACAAATTAACCTGCATACATTACTTTTATAAATTTTTATTAAAATATTTTATAACTTTTTTTTTATCCTATGCTGTCTGATAATAATAATATCATAGTACTTATTTATGTATAGGTTAAAGCTATTTATATATTTATTTTTATTATTTAATATTATAATATCATTATAATATATTAAATCTCAACCATTGGATATTAATCCAATGGTAGAGATAGTAAATGGAGAACAGTGGAGAGAAAGCTAAATGAAGATATTCTTTTCCGTTATGGCTTACCATGCTAAATTAAAACACAGGTATAAAGACATGAATACTATATTCAATTTGTCCTTCACCACCCGAAACCAATATACATACACGCACACGTTAGCTTTAATGCTTAATATAAGAGTTAAATAACTAATTTATATATATTAAGAAAATTAGTTAAATTGATTATTTATAACAAATATATGTTAACTTTCTTAAACCACCCTACTTAATCATGTGTGTTGGTACTACTCTTGCTGCGAACCCCTTAGAGCTAGGAAAACAGGTCAAGCCTATCGGTCTAACCTGTTTAGACTCTAAAATTGTGAAGATTTGGCTTGAAATGTTTTTCTTACCCGTCTAGGTTCTTTTATAATTTTTTTATTTTTTAAAATTTTTATATAATGCTAATATTATCAATTTTTTAAAAATTTTTATGATATTTCAAATATTTAGTTGTTATTATCACTTTGAAATTAAATTTCATAAAATAGTCTGATTTATTTGGTTTTGAACAATAATTTGTTTGATTAAACTTTAAAAAATAAGCTAATTTAGACTTTAGATAATGATTTGATTTATATTATATGTGTTGATATTTTTAAACTGTATATATTTGATAACAGTGTATTTTTATACTTATATAACTTGTGTTCTTATAATTTAAATTAGAAATTTATGAGTTTTAATAATAATGTATATCAAACTAAAGTAAAATAATAGCTAGAGTGTAAAATTTAAAAGTGAAATATTTGAAGTTGCCACTAAAGAAGAGCCGGCTCATAATGAAATCCAATCAGATATTATTGATATCGAAGACAGTTATAAAAATCATGTTGATGATGTTGCTATTATTTAGTGTTTAGTTTGTGCTTTGTATCATTTGTTTAATTTTGAACAATAGTTTACCAATGTTTAGGACAATGACTTGATTTGGTTTAGTTTTGACAATTTAGATAACAAATTAGCATTTTGTTTCACTATTATTAATTGTCTGAATTATGAAGTTTATTGTTTTACTCTTATCCATATTAAAACATTTAAATATATATAAATTATTAAATGGGCATAAAAGCCCACGTGCCAGCCTGAGTTCACCACTATAAGGGTCAGGCTTTCAAAATTGACTAGTTTTCGACATGCGAGCCTAAACAGGTCAGCTTGTGAAGGGCCAACCCATTTTTCTAGTATTACCCTGATAATCAATATGGATATTTTAAAAGAAAAATTAATTCAACCCCAAGTAGTTCTTATATTAAGAACCAGAAGTAGTGTGTATGTATTATATATACATCTCCTCTATTCCTTTTTATAAGAAATAAATAATTGAATCACATTAATCAAAAAGTGAGCTGAAATTTGCTAGAGACAATAAATATATAAAAAAAATTGTAACTTTTTTTCCTAAAAATACCCTTATTTATGGGGGAGAGAGTATGAGAGAGAAAATAAAAAATTAGTAAAATAAAAAAGGATTGTGGAAGAGAGAAGATGTGTAGGAGAAAGAATGTGTTTGAAGCTGCATGACAATAAATTTATTGATATTAAAATAAGTAATTAAATGAGAGTAAAATAAAAAAATTAATAAAAAATTTGAGACAAAATTTAAATGTTTCTCATAAATATCAACTAAGTACTAGGTAGTAGTTGCTTATATTAATTACATGATGTAGTATTATATGAGGAACTAGGGGAATGGTAGACGCGGATCTCTTAAAGGCATGGAGTTTAAGATAGGAGATGGCTTCTGATAAATTTTGTGCGCTTGTGTGCGTGGTATTAGTATGCTTCATCCTTCATCAATCATCCATTATTCCATTGCAAGTCAATAGCAATCTTACTTAAATCTATTTTTAAGAAATGGTTTCAATAGAAAAATAATAACACTAAGGACCCGTTTGGCTCAAGGAATCAAAAGGAATGGAAAATGATTGAAAAGAAGAGAACGAAAAGTGTCCGGCTGAGAACCTATTTGTCATGCACTGAAATTGAAAATGGGTCACTGGAAAATATTATGTTGATAGGTTAGAAATCGAACTATTTTACC